TGCTTAATCTCAAAATCAATAAGCTTTGGGAATACATTTAAATGAAACAATCATCATGAACTTTCTAATTATTTTTTTCCTAATCTATGCTAAAATCCAAAAGGAATATTATTGGATTATCTGCTCTTTTGAATTAAATATCCCTGCGTGCCCCGTCATTTGCAAACATAAGTAAAGCTTTACCATGCTATATAGAATATGGGAAATTTTTTTCTTCCAAAACTTGTTAACTCCATAGCCACAAGGAATGAGCTGTATTTTGGACTATGAACTTGAAAGGAGTTTGTTTACTGATCAGCTAATCAGAGATTATTCAGAAAAGAATCCTCAAGAAATTTCTTTATTGGTCCATTTCCCATTTCGCAGAGAAGAGCAAGCAGCAAGGAAGAGTAAATTGATAGTCTGTAGCTAATCAAGACTTTAGAACTATTTAATGTTTTGCTTACATATTCATCTGGCAATTTTTTAGAATTGTTTCAGTTCTGTAAATTCTTTATTTGTTGCATTTGATTATATTAAGTAAATAAATGTATTTGTTAATATTCCAAATTGTATCTGGGGAGTAACTATAGCATATAACTTCAGGTACCTAGATTTAAGATTATTCTGAAAGCGTATACCATCAATCCAGAGCAATCCTCCAGCTACTTGATTCATTACAAGCTCTGGCGAAAGAGCAGCTCTCCCACAGGATTCAAACGTGTGTAGAATAACATCATTAGTACTGTAGAGAGAAGAGAAAGCACATAACACCCATTGCTTATCAGAGTTACGAGTTCGGTAAATAATTATACCTTCTTGTTTTTGAGTGCAGTAGAATGAGGAAGTATATTACGGCTGCTACTAAACCACATTCAAATTACAGTCTCTAGAGCAACAACACAGTAATCCATATTTTCAAAAGAATCATAGCAACTCAATTTTTTTTTTTTTTTTCTCGGTACGCGGGCCTCTCCCGTTGCGGAGCACAGGCTCCGGACGCGCAGGCTCAGCGGCCATGGCTCACGGGCCCAGCCGCTCCGCTGCATGTGGGATCCTCCCGGACCGGGCACGAACCTGCGTCCCCTACATCGGCAGGTGGACTCTCAACCACTGCGCCACCAGGGAAGCCCGCAACTCAATATTTTAAAAGACATGTTTCTAATTGCAATTGCCATAATCAGTTATTTTCTGATGTGATGTTTTACTTTCAAAGAATTATTACCTTTGTAGAATAGTGAAATTTTAAATTAAATTAAAAGTTGAGACACATGTTTTAAATAATACTCCAATTTAAAATGGAAGAACTGGAGATTGGAGGAAACCGAAATAAATGAAATTAGAATGATAGCAAAGTTTGAAGTTCTATTCCAGGATTCTTTGAACCAAACACTTGACAGCTCCCCAGTCATGTTAATTGCCTTTTTGTATCTGTATATATTTCCATATGCTGAGTCATCATGTTGGCTTAAAATGCAGTCATTATAACAGTATTGACAATATTTGGCTTAAAATGCAGTCATTATAACAATATTGGCAATATTTAAATGTTCTTCCCTTTCATGCCTGCCTTATGGAATATACAGTTTCTGAACACAAACTGTTATTTTATCTTTAAAATATTTTTCTAAAATATTATTAGTGCTTGTAAAATAAAGATAGATAGGAGAACATGATTGCCTTTAAAGTACTATGATAGCAGAACTAAAGTTAAAGACGTTTAAAATCCCTTATTCTCTCAAATTAAATTCATTTTGAGCCAGAGGTCTAGAAAGCTTAGCCTTTGGTATCATGGGATGCCCAGGGCACCCTGACTCCCAGACCAAGGGAGCAGAATCTTTCTTGACTCATTTCCCTTTATCACAGACTCACCATATTCATGTCAAATGCCCACTGTCCATATATATTATTTTATATATGCTGTATTTAAAATGGATACACTGCTGTATTTAAAATGGATAACCAACAAGAACCTACTGTATAGCACAGGGAACTCTGCTCAATTTTATGTAATAATCTAAATGGGAAAAGAATTTGAAAAACAATAGATGCATGTATATGTATAACTGAATCACTTTGCTGTACACCTGAAACTAATACAACATTGTTAATCAACTATACTGCAATAGAAAATAGAAAGTTTTTAAAAAATAAAAATACCAAAAAAAAGAAATTAGAGCCATATAAATATATAGATTTTTCAATAGACTCATAGAATTTAGACACAAAAAAGATCTTAGAAATTGTTCTGTGAGTGACCAAAACTTGGTTCTGACTCACTACACATTTGCTGTGCAAGTAGGCAGCCACTTCCCCGACACACAGGTATTTCAGCTGTGATGGCCCATGGCATGTGCCTCATGCTTTCCAGGCCAATCTCCATGTCTTTGCAGCTTTGCCTAAGAAAAGGCAAATGACCTTATTTAATATCTAGATATAATGATGCCCTATCTGATTTCTTGAAACCCTTCCCTGATTTACATTTAAGAGCCAGTGTAACCATTGATCTTATAATTTTACTGAAGCACAGTAATTTTGTAGATTGAAAGAATGGCAACCAAAGCTATACTTTCATATAAGTATATATGTATTGGAAACCCAGCTTCCTTTCTGTTCACATGATATATCCTTTGCTAGTGCTTTTAATATTTTGCTCCCTGTATAATTAGTGATACAGTGCTGTTTTCCTTCTGATATGAATGTGTGCAAAGGCAAAGACATTTTATATATATATATATATATATATATATATATATACACCTTTATATCTTTTTTTAACATATTGAAATTTTTTCAGTATATCTCTGATTTTTTCTTGATTAACCACATTAATAGCAGAGAACAAATGCCTGCATACAGAAGTAATTTGAATTTTATTTAGTACATATACAGCTTAAGTTTCACATCTGAGTGTGCTGCCATGGCCTCTAACACCCTGAACTTGAAAAGAACCAGTCCCTGAAGCTCTGGAAACTGGGCTGGGCTCCCTGGCATGCCGTCCTCTTCCTTCTCCAGGGTGAAGTCATCACTCCCTCTTGCCCTGATATCGTGGCTTTTATAGTTTCTCTGGAACATAGAAATTTGGAGTTTTGCTAAATAGGTTTATTAACTTTGGTCAGTGATAGAACGGTTGGAATAAAAACAACATGTCATGATGGCAAATTAGTGACCAATTACTGTATGCATTTGCCATATGTTAATAAAATTTGAAAGTAGCTGTTCATCCTATTTGGATGATTGGATATTCCTTTGATCTAAGCCAACGATGAAAATAAAAACTGACTCTCAGTCCCAGAAGTTAATAAATGTAAGGCATTTTCTAAAATAAATGAATATGTGGTTTTCAGATCTCTGTCTTTTATTTCTGTTTATTTTTTATTAGGTTTACTATAAATCTGTGTTTGGGAGCAAAATCTAGATTTTACTCCAAAAAGAAACAGGGAATAAGAGGGTGGCAGCCTACAGTGTCAGATACCAGATTGTCACCATTGTTTTCCTTTTCATCAGCAGCCTCAGCATGCCTGTGGCAGAAGCAGTGACAGAACTGGAAGGGTTTACCCAGGGTTGTGAATGCGTAAAATGAAAAACAAAGGGGATAGGAAACCTAGGGGACACCAAGAGCAGTATGTCAATGGGGCCAACTTAGAAAGAGAGGAAAGTGAGAAATCCACAAGCCTACAAGGTTTGGCTTCAACTTAACTTTGCAGCCTTCTCTCCTGCCACCTTCCCTTCCCTCCACTCACCAGTCTCAGGAGCTACCTCAGGTTCCTGGCTAGCCCTTCTGCTGTGTGTCTCTCTGTGTCCAGATTCTCCTTCTCTCCATTCTTCCCTCACTACTTGTTATTTACCCTTCAAGAATCTACTCAGGACTCGCCTCGAAGAAGCCTTCTGTGATCCCTTCCATGTTGGATTGCATGTCCTGGCCCTAGGTGCTCAGAACATTTCACACATTTAACTTGGCACTTACTGTATGTGACTGGAATTATTTACGCTTAGCTCTTTCTTTCCCATTACGCTATAAGGTCCTTAAGAGTGATTTATTCATGATAAGGATCCTTGTAACCCAGTGCCCTGCATAGTCCCTGGCAAAGTGTAGGCATGCAGTAAATGTAAGTCTGAATGAAAACTAAAATGTGGGTTTTCAGCTTTCTGGAAGAGAATTTATTGGTCAGGAGAATCACTGACTTTATTTGAATTATCACCTGTGTTTGATATTTTAAGTAGCTCTCCAGACATAAACTGTACCCAAGGGTATGACCATGTCTCAAGAGCCACTTTATGTGTATTTGTGTCAGTGTATGTTTAGGACTAACTCTTTTTAAAAAGCATTTCACTAAGATGAGCCACAAGGCAATAATTTTTTAAGCTTATTCCTTTGACCTCTTTCAGATTTGAATTACATAATTTTGTTGAAGTTCTTGAGCATAGATTAAATAGGTCATGGAATACATGAGTGCCTTGGAAAATAGGTAAAATTGTGTGAAGGGAAACATAAGAAAGGAAGTCTGGTAAACGGGGAGGAAGTTTAAAGCAGGGTGGAATGAGTATATAACTAACGAATCTTTGAAATATATCTTATATCCAAGAAAAATGTTGTATATAATGTGAATGTCTATAAAAGTCCCTGGACTCTCAGACCGAAATTAATTAAAATGTTGAAAAGCTTAATATGGGGTATGGAGCACGATAGGGGTGTTTTGGTCTGATTTTGTTTTATATTCTACTTGGAATGGGTGTGTGTCTCTTTACGGCACCTGTACCTTCTAAAATATTTGTTCATCAACAGCAAGCACATAACAACTTCTTTCTGACGTAAGTCAAAAGTAATTTTCAATTTGAAGATAGGAATCAAAGCCTGAAACCAGTAGCCAAAGAAAGCAACACTGGATATTTTAAAATATACAGAGCAAACTATTAACTGAGATTTCATTATTCAAAAGCTGTCTCTTTCACTTCTACTTAGAGCTGCAAAAAATGGAATCATTCTGACCCATAACTCTTCACTTTCTTCTCTTCTTTAGTGGGATTGGAAGGAATTGGCCCTGGGCCTCAGGAGGCAGCAGTATTTTGGCAGAATTTGGAACTCTGCATTTGGAGTTTATACACTTGAGCTACTTATCAGGAAACCCCATCTTTGCTGATAAGGTGAGATTCTCCAGTATACCCTGCACTGCAAAAAAGTACTTGTTGGAAACGATATCCCTCTGTGGGGAGATTTAGTAATACGGAACGTGGAAAAGAACCACCAATTTTAATGTAGCCCTTTATGAAGTTTTGTTACATGCAGCATTTCATTTAACCAAACTGTAAACCATTCTTTTCACAGCACCATTCTAACTCAGTGCAAGAGGGCCTCGCTTACATGTCTGATTCTCTACACCTCAAGCAAGTAACTTTACATCTCTGAAGTTTTTCCCTTATCTAAAACTATAGTGTTTTGTGGACTCTGTGAACCGTATACATGAAAGACTTTTTACACTCAAAGTGTTTTACAAATGCAAAGTAGCAATTGAATCAGTTTCTAATTTTCAAGAAACACACCCATTACCCCACCACTCCGCCCTTAGCTTTCACCCCACTTGTCAGCTCCCCTTTACAGCAGAATTCTTTGGAAGAGTTGTCTGTGTTTGTTGTCTTCGCTTCTTGACTGCCACTCCCTTGAATGCTCTCCTGCTGGGCTTTTCTCCCAGCCACACCAGTGAGGGCTGTGTTGCCAGATCCAGTAGTCATTCTCACCTCTCCCTCTCCCTCCCTTTTCCTCCCCATCTTCCTCTCCCTCCCCCTGTCCCTCTCCCTCTCCCTCCCCTTCCCCTCTCCCTCTCCCTCCCCATCTTCCTTTCTGTCTCCCTCCCCTTCCCCTCCCTCCCCCTCTCCCTCTCCCCCTCCCCCCCC